ACGAGAGCGGCTTTTGAATGTCCTGATTTCATCTCGCTGACGACAGTCACTCCAAAAAGTCCGTCGCGCCGACTGTTATTTTCAAGCAATTTCACGTGCTCCAACAAATCCATGAAATCTGAAAAATAGAAACGCCTTGCTCTTTCTTCACTGACTTTTTTTTTTTTTTTCGACAGGATGATATTAGCCAAATTGGGGTTGCCGCATATTTTGACGTATCCCGTGAAATAATTTCCTCAAGGGGACGTCCTACATTTCGGATCTTTTGGAACCAGCGGCAGCAGTAGTGACCCGTCGCTAACATTTCACTCCGTGACACGCTCAAAACTAAATCTATCCAGTCTAGCGTTGGAAGGAGAAGGAGCAACTTCTCTCGTACGGACGGGATGACCTGCAGGAATACGACTCGCTCCGACAAGCGCCTCCTCGCCGCGAGTGTCAAAACAGGCGCCACGCTCGGCCAACCCGACGCCCCGATGCCCAATTGTACTTGGCAGTCTGACTTCGGATCACAGCGAATGCGCCAAGGACGACTTTCAACAATACAAAGTCTCCATCATCGTTGCGCCACGTTGGCGCCCGCGGTCCGTCATTTAGACGCCACGTATCGAGGACAGAGTGGGAAAGGTCACAAAGAAGCCGAGTTTGAGGGGGGTCTCAAAAGCGTCAAGCGCTCGATTAGCCATACAAAGTAACAACAGTGGCAGACGTCGAGATTTAAAAAGGCCCCGACCACGATAGTGTCACAATCAAGCGCATCAGCATTAAGAAAGAAAAAAAAAATAAATCACCCGTCTGCAATTTCACTTGATGAAATCAGCATCTAAGCAGGGCTGCTCTATTTTGCCAGTAATGACTCTGCAGAGTGTCTCATTGATTTGTTTGTTTTTTTTGTTTCCCCTTGCTAGCGAGACGAGGCTAATTACTGTGTCACCAGCTTCGTGCCAATTGGCTGGGGGAAATTTTGACCGTTGAAACGCAAGCAGGATCCCAAGAAGAGAGGAATTCCCAAAACCGAGTTTACGCAATAACGATTCGGTCAAAGAGCAAACGGCCACGTATCCTCGAAAGCGGGCTTGATCAAACTTTTTGCATCACGGGACGCATTGCACAGTCATGCTAATGCTAACGCCGATATTTAATCGGCGAACTGCCAGAGGAATTAAAAAAAGCTCCCCATTTTCAAGATTTAAGAAAAAAAAAATGACAATGTGATGATCTGCCTTCCTTCCTATTATGGTGCACCTGGCGAATGTGATGTGGTGGCGCCCTCGTGGGATAGGAAGCCAGGTTGGACTATAACGTCCTCCGCCG